AACCTTGATAGATAAATATGTTATTGCGACATTTTTTTCAGTTTTTAGAGCTAAATTACGTTTAAAATTATTTAAGGAACTATGGAAGGGGAGGTCGAGCGAATGGATCCTTCTAAAGCGCCTGAGGTTCTGGCTGTTGTGGCCTACTGATGGTCGTTGGACATGCCGATCCGTTAGGGATTGTATGAAGACCGTTTCAATGCCGAGGTGCGCCGCCAATGGTGCAAAGAGTTTTATTTTAAAGCCGCTGCAGAATCTCTACATTACAGTAGCTGGTTGTGCCCCACACTTGGATGCCGTATTGCCAGACTGGTGTTATTACCACCGCTTAGAATAACAGCTAGTTACGATGGTATAGTTTGGATTGGAAATGTTTCCTTCTGCCTGTTACATTTTTCACTTTTTAAAAAAAATGTAGGCAATGGAGCCAAAGGACTCTTTAAATGCAAAAGCTATAAAGTACCTCAAACCAAGATAATGTCATTGTACTGGTTGGCATTGAGAACCGCTTATAACATATTCGTCTGCGAAACTTTAAGTCAAATTTTTGTAGACAGTATAAATAGTTGAACAGTTGAGATGTGCATCTCACACTAGGTGCTTGTTTCTGGTGTAATTAAAACACCATAAACGCAAAAACCAACAAGCGAACACAGTCGTATGTCCTCACAACCTCACAAAGGGGCACACACACATCCGTGCAAGCATGAGTGTGCCAAAATAAACATGAGCGAGCATTGACAGCAAAACTTTCATATCAATTTTAAGCCAAAGTAATGAAAAAGTAACAGCACCCAAAATAAAAGAAGGCTAGAAAAAACAACGAAAGTAACAGCAACAAATGCCATAGACAAAGCATATTTGCACAAGCATCGCAGGAGTCCCGAGCAGGACAACGTAGTTGTTGCCCATAACGTTGATGTGGATGTTGATGATGCTGATGATAATGATATTGTTGGCGACGCAAAGCGCAGCGCACAAAGCAACGTTTTATGACAAGGAAGCGCTGGACCTTTGAATACTTTTGGGCGCGCTTCTAAGGATATTGTTTACATTGCCAAGCATGGACTTGGTGATGGGCATGGGCATGGACTGAGGCAGGGGCACGGGCACGTCTGCGCCACAACGAAATTAAAAACCAATAAAACGCCCCGTGGTCCATGCCACATGAAATTAAAAATTATGTTTTCCTTTCAACATTTTATTGCAGTGCCGCATAAAAAGCATACACAAAAGCATAAAAAGTGTGAGCGAGCAGAAGGGAAGCGACTTTAGGGCTACGCGTCAATGTATGCGCAAAGTTCAGGCCCAACGAACGCAAACTTTCGCAATTAAGGGCCACAATAAAAGTTGAGAGAGCGCCTAAAATGCTGCTATGCATTTCGATAATTGAATATTTTTACCTGTGCGAGCTATGTAGATTGCATAACCACCCACACCATCTACAACAAACACCGAACCACCCAACCACTCCGCCACAAACGAAAACAGAAGCTTGGAAAACTGTTTTAAGTTGCCAGACAAAAACAAAGCGCCACAGCGTTGTTCAGCATGACGCCATTTTGTTGCTGCTTTGGCTTAAAAAAGGTATCATGCGCTCAGCAGCTGAAGCTGCGCAACAGTTAATTTGACTATGCGGCTCTGCCGACGTCGGCGCCGGCGTAAGCAGCATCGTTTTACATACATCAAGTTCGACGTCGTAAAACTTTCACTTGATTGCACGGCCAGCTTCTGTGCGCTCGCCAATTAAACGGCATTTCGGGCGTGTGCGAGTCATTTATTTAATTTACTACCTGCGTTTTCGACAGTAGCTCTAACAGGACCTGTAGTACCTCGGCATAGCTATGAATAATTTAAGCAAATCGGTTTTCAGCCGCCTCTCTTACTGCCTGCCTGTCTGTCTGTTAGTGTTAGTGTGCGAGTGCGACTGTTTGTACGTGTCGTTGCGCCGGATTAGACGGCATTTGCATATTTTAATTATTTAGATTGTTGTGTTGAGCTACTTAGCTGCGACGCCGCGACAAACGGAAGTGCTGGCAACTCCATTTTCGCCAACCAGACAGACAAACTTAATTAAAAGCGGCTGTTTTTCTTGTGGCATTAGAGGAATTGGTGTGCGGGTTAGGCACTTTGTAATTGATAGCATTCTCATGTGTGCCACAATGCCGAGCTACAAAGCTTTACTTAAAACCGTGCTATATGCAAAAATAAAGCTCATGTCCGAACTTATTCTATTTTATTATTTGCATAAATGTTAGATAAAGGGTTTTTAAAAGACAATTTAATAAGGATGCAGAAAGACTGCAAATTATTTTGATTCTTACATTGAATTTATTTGAATTATTTCTTGAATGCAACAGCAAGAAAGGGTTCCGTGATAAGCATATGTCTTTCAAAACAAAAGGGTCAGAGACTAGTCTGAGTCTAAAAACTCAGACTCGCTAGAAAATGTAAGCCATGCAGACTACAAAAAGCTTTTAAGTTCACTTGAAAAAAAAGAAAATAAATGCAAGACAAAGGCAGTACATAATGATTGCTTCACAAACTTACTTACTTACTCATTTAAGGGCTCGCCTGATTAATTGATTGATTGAAAATATGAATTTTAATAAATGTCTCCAGACCCTCTTCATTTTGAAAAAGCGATATTTTGATTAAAAAGTTAAATTACTGTTCATTTAAGAGTTCATTACAAGTTTTCGTTTTTGTGAGATGCCGATTTTATTTCATTAATTTTTTTTTTAAATTTAATTTTATTTAGTACATCAACAATAATTCTATCGATGATAATAATTAAAATATATTTTAACATTTTATATATACTTGTATTAAAATAAAAAATAAAATGATGATATAACTGAATATAACAATTTCATCTCAACTTAAAAGATATTAAAGCCTAAGACAAAGCTGTACAATAACGTCTATTAATGCCTCCGACACGTTCGAAGAACGTGCCATATGGGGTCTAGACATTTAAATATTAATTAAAGAAACCAATCTGGGTCAGAAGGATATCCACAAATTATTTTAAATATATGGATTTTTAAGGAACATTGCAACTTAAACTTGGAATGAAATTATGCATTTAAATAAATGTCTCCATACCTTCCCAATTTTGAAAAGGAACTAATAAAAGCGTTATTTTAATATAATGCTTTTCTTAACCTCTATCGTTTCGATGGGCAAACTTTAACTTAACTGAGCACTCTAGTTTGCTGATAGCTCACAACAAAGTCATTTGAAAAGAATTTTTGGGAATGCAGTGCATTGCTTATTTTGAAATTGCCAGTCTACTTATATGATGTTTTGGCGAAAATGTGTGCAGAGGAACATTCGTTCATAAACATTTGTAGCCGGCTTTCCCAATAAACACATTACGTGCGCCAGCAATCGTAAATTCATAATGAAATATGAAGGCGAAGCAAGGCAACCAGCCAGCCGGTGGCCAGCAGATAGAGCAGATAGATGTTCAAGGAAAAGCTAGCCAGCGGAACGAGCATAATAAATACGCACAAACACAAATACACACACAAACACACATACACCTCCACATGAGTAGACACACACAAGTCTTGTTGCAAGTTTGTGTCTGGTTTTTGGCAAAAATGTAGCAGTAAAGCAGGCGCTGGCAACGGACTATGGGTATTACTTTTATGATTATTTGTGGTGTTTATTGTGGCGAACCGGCTGCGTTTTAGTGTCGCAGAGCTGCAAAACAAACTTTAACAACTTCCAGCGCCGGTCCTGCCCAGTCTCGCCTCAACACAGACACAGACCGAGAGACTTTGTGCAGCGCAGCGTGCAGCTTTAATTAGATTTTCGCATTAGACGATGACTACAATTTGAGTGCTGCCTGTGACAAGCTAATGATACAATGATACTGACTAGTTGGCATCGGTATGCCGGACACGCCACGCGCGTTCCCCCCAACTATTTATGGGGTTCTGGGGTTGGCCGGACTTACTTACTCGCCCCAAACGTGCGGCAGAGTGCAATAAACACCAGTCCGTAACAGTAACAGTTGCCGGATGGGTGTGTGTGTGTGTGTGTGTGTGGGGACCATCAATAAAGCTTAATTTAATTTGACCGACGCACATTTCTGCACTATCTTTAAGCCAAGACCCACTCACACTTACAAATATATATGTACATGCTTGCAGAATTGGCGGGCTCATTATTATTATTAGTTATGATGATGTATGGCTTATATAAGCATGCGCGTATGTACAAACACATATAAATGTATATACAATTATGTATGTATGTTTGTCTGCATGCGAGGGCCACACCGGCCTGGCAAATATTAATAATTGTTTTTGTTGCTGATACTTGTACATACGCATAGCTTCGTCTACGGAACACGCTAAAAATTAATTAAACGTTTTTTCTTCACTGCCTCATGTGGCGGGCGGGCTCAGCGGAGTTTGGGAATTGTGGGGTCTATGGGGTTTGGGCTCTGGAAGGCTTTTGCTCGGCTATTTCGTGGTTATTTATGCGCTTGCCATTTGCCGTTTTTACAACGCGCGACCAACAACAATGGCGGCTATATTTGTTTCATTTTGTTTTTGCTTTTGTTTTTGTTGCTGCTACTGTTGCCGCTACAGCTGTCTGCTGTTATTGGTGTTGTTGGCATTGGCCATGCATTGGCAATTTATATTTGTATTAATTAATGGGCCAGTAAACAATTGCTGAAAGCTGTGCTATTAGTCCGCATGGGCAGCATGGAAATTCTGGACGGAAGGGTCATAATAAGCTTTGGCATTTGGTATTTGGCTATGCACATAAATTATGCACAATTCGTTGAGTTAATAACATTTTCCGTTATGTGGAAATTGACTTTTGTTATGTCAGACATGCGATGCAGACAACGCAGCTCTGCAGGCGTTATTAAAATTATTTAAAAATACATTTATTTTATACGTATGCTCTAACTAAATTCCTACAAAGTTCATTAACTATGTATATACACGTAGATCGTATTAAAACAGATTTACTCATTAAGCTGCTATATTAGATTGTTGTACACCGACCAACTTTTGTAGAAGCATTTCATCGGCTTTGCGCTGCTGCTCCTTCAAGGCTGTCAGTTCTGAGAGACTCGGCAGAAAGCCCAGCTTCTTGTACTTGGCCAAGGTGCGATCCTGTAGCTGCGGCTGGAAACGCCAGATATTATCGTCCACCACGGGGTCCAGCAGCCAGGTTTTGTTGTCTGGCTCCCTGTAGTGTTGCATCTGGGCGTACTCAATGGGCACAGACTTGGCCGCACAGCTCGCCTCGTTCGTCCAGTGTATGGCAAAGTGATTGTGGAGTCCGACGGCGTAGCGGGTCGAGTGCAGACACTTGGCCGCATCAAAACGATTGCAGTGCAGAGCTGTGCGCTTCACATGTTGCAGCATATAGAAGAAGGAGGGCAGCTGTCTGAAGTATTTCGGTTGATCCGCATAGCGCGGATAGTAGACGTTGCGAAAGCAGAAGCTAACCCAGTCCTGGCAGCTTTCACTCGTGTAGCCCAAGTAGTCGGGCACGGTGCGTGCTAGTGTTACGAGATCCGTCCAGTTCGTCACATTGCCGAGTGGCATGATGACCTCGTCAATGTCGAAGACACCTATATAGTCAAAGCGATACATGTTGCGATAGAAGCAGTCATTGTAGGGTATCATCTCGTTAAGAATGGTATTGAAGTAGTTCGAGGCCATGATATAGTGATGAAAATGAGGTAAATTGGGTTCGCCTCGGCCCAAGGACAGTGGGCGGAGCTCCACAAAGTCTGGACTCTCCTCCATATAATGTTGAAGCACCCGCGATATATTCGCATGCATGGGCGAACTGTAAAATATGACCTTGCTGGTGCCCAGCAGACGCATCAACTCCAGCCACTCAATGAGACGCCAGGACATGTCGTCGTATAAAAAGTCCAGGGCTTTGACGCAGATGGCAAAGCGGAGCGAACGATCTTCTGAAGAAACATTTGGGGCATCTTCCAGTTGCTGGGGCTCATACACTACCTTAAGTAGGTTTGTTGCCTTGTCGCAGGGACCGGAAACCAGTGAGATCATATCGGGTACCTTGCCTTTGGGGACTGCGCACGACATCAGTGTCGGAAAATAGTAGCCTGGGGACCCAGCACCCCATTTCCAAACTACCTTGTGCTCGTGTACTCGCACTATGAGCGGTTTTGTTTGTTCCTTAAACCACATCTGGCAATAGGTCGTAGGATATTCCGTACCTTTGAAACCGCGTTCATTAATCATGGCCAGGAGACGAACTAGTGGCGCCTTAAGCACTGTCTCTCGACAAGTTTCTTGCTCGTGCCACTTGCCAGTAGTCGTTGTGGTACTCAATGTTCTTCGTTAACGGTGCACACTTAAGTTTCACTTGAATCTTCGTCGCATTCAGCATTTCAACCAATGGAACCGATGGAATCTCAGCACGCATTAGTTCCAAGCGTTCTTGCAAGGTCGGGCCTGTACAAGACACATAATCGTACAAATAAGTGAACAATTAAATGTTCAGTACTTACTCCCGCGTCTATCAATTAATAGTTCATCGATGATTACCGCACGCCTTTCATATATATAGCTATTCCGGTTACTAAAACTAGAATATATCAGTAATAGGAGGAAAAACGTTGGCCCAACCATTATGCAGAGGGATCTGTGGAGTTGGCCGATTTTCCTGAACATGATGTGCAAGACTAGCAGTTAAAAGAAATGTGGTATATGAGTTCTTAGAAAGTACTGTTGAGGCTTGGAGGCTGCCTAAAAGTAACCAGTTTAGGTTCTGTTTTTTAACCCCGAATCGAAGGGTATTATAAGTTTTATTGGCTTATCCATCATTGGAAATAGGCTGTTATATCTGTCAGCCTTTTTAAATGTGGTCGCATAAAAATAGTTTTATTGTGCCCTATTATTTCTATTCTATTATTATTTCTGTTAAATTATAGTACTAATAATTATTCATATATATATTTATTTTTATTTATTTTTAATTTAAATGCACTACGAAAAGGTATTCTCGCTTCGACGGGGCCTAATCCAAATATTATTTTGACACTATTTTTGACATTCACGCACATGTTCACATATTTGCTCTCTATTGTGTATTGAATACGTAAATATAGCACTATTACATTATTTTGTAGGCCTAATTTAAATACAGTATTCAGTTAAAAAGAAATATAGGTGAACAATAAGTTATGAGTAACGCAGTTTTGAGGAGCTGCCAACAATTCTTACAACTTTTGCTAAGCTATTACTTTTTCACTTTTTACTCTCGCACAGTAATTGTGTTTGGAGTCTTATAAATATTAACAAAGTATGATTAAAATTAGGGCAAGTTTTCTGTTAGTGACGTTTTAAACGAATGACGTTTGCTAGTGATGTATTAAACTATAACATACGATTCTATCTATCTATTCAGCTGAGCAAATAAATTTGATATTTGGCTTTAGAAATACTAATATGTGTTTTGTATACGTAAGTGGGTGTCAGGGGGTCCCAAATAAAATCTGTATGTATTTTAAACAATGACTATTAATAGCAATACACTGTTTTTTTAAATAAACGATATTTTCTTTGCAGTTTTTGTTACTCACAATAGCGGCATATGTGTGTTTATTTTACGTGAGTTCACACACCAAAGGATCGATCAAAAATGTGTTTTTTTTTAATTTTCTCCATTTTTAAATTGTTATAATTATTATACACATTCTTAATTCTTTATTTAATTCCGTCCTGGGTGGCACAATTATTAGAGGAGGAGGGAGAGACTACTTTATTTTTTTGCATATTTTGAAAGTTGTTTTGAACATACAAGTAATTCCGAAATGATGATCACATATTGGGAACATAAATGGAACACAAACATAAGTGGAAATGGAAGAAATCCTTCATTATTTGCGCCCCTTATATTCCGTTTTAATGTCACATAACGCACCAATAACGAAATGCACAGCACAATACAAATAAACTTCAATGTAATTTGCGTAATAAAAACTCAAGAGCGTATTGAAAATGCCTCGAACAAGTGCAGGCAAAAGCGCAACAAAAACAACAGCAACAAAGGCGGCCGGCACTCAATGTCCTGCAGGCGAAATGTACAACAAAAGTCACCAGGTTTGAGGGTGTTCCAGTGTCTGTCTCTTTGTATGGTGTCTGTCTGTGTGTGTGGCGTTCTTTGCCATGTCTATCTGTGTGTCTATCTGTCTGTCAGTCCGACTAACTGTGCATTGTTGTAGTTGTTGTTACTTGGTAATAACTGCAGTTGCAGGTTTACAATTTGTGCGTGGTTTGGTGTTTGGGGCCATGATAAAAATAAGAGTCGAAAATGCGAATATAAATTTTGCCATATCTGATGTACAGATGTACAGAGACCAGGGGGTGTGCCTGTGCCTGTGTCTGTCTGTGTGTGTGTGTGTGTGTGACAGGATTAACGTAATGGTTGCATTGCATTTACCCGAGCAGCGGAAGCCGTGCAGACCAATCATCAGAAGCATGTACTCGTATGCAAGCGGCAGAGGAAACGGAAATGACATGCAATAAAGCACAAAGCGTCGCACAAAGTGAATGCGAGCGAAAGAGAAAGTTGTCAAGGTGGCTGCTCTGCTGGTGGTGGTGTGTGTGTGTGTGTGTGTGTGTGTGTGTGAGTGTCTGTCTCACTTGCGGATTATGTACAACGAAAGATACCACAGACCCAAAAATCTATCTACTTAAGGCAATGCGTACCAAAAACGATGCCCATGTGTCCAGGCAAACTTTTCCGAAATTACAATTGCAAAACTAGTCTGCAATCTCTCAATGTATGTGCGTATATATGTGTGTGTGTGTGTGTGTGTCTATGTGCCTTTGTGCGAGCGAACGTTAAGTTATTTGGCTTATCAATGCCAGACGCACACAATTCCAAGTCTTATCGCCCAACCGCATCGGTCGCCGTTTTGTGCGCTCACATGCAGGTATCGACGCGCTGGCCATTTTGATTTAATGCTGCCCATTTAGCTGGACTATTATTAAGCGGCCATTAGCAGGCAGCAGGCAGCAGTGCAGGGACAAGTGGGGGCCCTAGTTGTGAGCAGCGCGCAAATTATATGAAGGCGCACGCATTCCATGCGGCAGGCGGCAAAAGATTTGTCAGCCAACCTAGAAAAGCTGCAACTTTCCGGGCAACATTGTTGTTCTGGTTGCTGTCGCTGCTGATTTTGTAGTTGTTGTTGCTGCTGCTGCTACTACTCCATACACGTACATGTGGTGGTGTAACTGCCAATTCTAACTAACTGAAAGTCTGGTTGCTACCTGCATTATTTACTAATTACGCCCTGCAGCAAGTGTTGCATGCATGTGATTGCTTTAACTTCAACGTTCCTTTCCTCTACCCCCTGCCTGCCCCTGCCTGCACCTGCCCCTAGCCAGTCCGCTATCAAGCTGCTGCTGCGACTGCTGCTCTGTCGTTGTTGGCTTCGTGTCGCTGCCATTGCCACCATAATTTGCCATCAACTTATTAGCAACACAAAATGCGCTTGTTTTATTTTCGATTTTAATTTTCATGTTGCTGCCTCTGGTAGTTTTGCATGCATATGCGCATAATTTATATTCATTATCTGATGCATAATTCTAGGTACTACCTGGCCCCATCAACTTGGATTTGCCAGCTGTTTTCCACTCCACCTTATGCCGTTGTCTGAGCATTTGGTCTTCTGCGATTCGTATTTGTATTTGAGCTTAAGGGTGCTCGACGAAGCGTGTGGGCGCAGTTGCTGAGAAGTGGCGAACGTTTACGCCACTTAATCAATATTTACCCAAGAAATTTGAACAAATTCGAAACAAGACCAGGGTCTCGAAGCCCGCCGCACTGCTCTGTTAAGTTGATAATCTTGGGTCGTTTTGTTATTTTTGTTTTGTTTGATTTATGTCAGATGCAAATAATTTAAAGTTATAAGCTGTTGTTGACACCGAACTTAAGGCTATGGGTGGGATGGGCGATGGCTCTAATCTGCCTTCAACTCAATGCTTAAAATAAGAAGTAAGACTTATGCGCTTCGAGAAATACATAACTTTAATACCCAACTTGTTGTAAATTTATTTATTTCATATTGATCGGCAAATGTCTACCCCAAAAGGTCCTCTAAGGCCAGCCTTTCTTTCTTTAAATCGTAAATTTTTTCTAAACCAAATATCAAATATTTTAAACTCCAGAGCCTATCTGTACCTGCTGCCTAATAAATACTTTAAAATTAACAGATAAAACTGATATTGGGAATATTTTGATATATTCGTTGCTTTGGAATTCAAATATTAAGACCCTGCTAAGATTTAAACATCCTATTCACCGATTTCAATCAAATCAAAAATGCAATAAAAATGTATTATATTCCTTTGAACTCTTTATTTATGTTATTTAATTAAGAATACAGCTTACAATTGTACAATTATTGTTAATTTTCTTTAGCCAATCGAATCAATTAAATAGTGTAGGTTTGATATTGTAAATAGTTGTTGCATAGATCTTAGTGGGTATAAATATATATAAATCTGTTCTTAGTCTGCCCGACTTACCCTCGGATATATAAATAAGTAATCGACATCCTATCACTAATTTAATTTAAAACTTATGCATCGTTTATGTGGTACGAGTATAAAAATATAATTAAATTATATTACTTTCACTTTGTAGCTTACTTTCGTAGGGATGTGTATTTGGAACCGTGTTGAGCCCATTGTGGTGGCTCTTATTGTTTCATAGTTGCCTAACCCTTAAAATCAAGTTGAACTTTATTGCTTTGTTGAGTTGACATGGAAGTGGCGTACATTCAAATGCAAATCCAGTGCATCTGGAACCGAAACTGGACAGAGCCGGTTCATTGGCGACTACTTCGTTAGTGTCCATGTCCATGTCCATTGATTTAGCGCCGCCAGCGCCACATTTATAATCGCGCGTTCGCAAGCAATCAACGCTAATTGTGATGCCCTCGAGCAGCTTTGAACAGCATCACGAGATGATGCAGTTTTTGTCCTTGTCACCCAGTTCCGAGGGCTTGCGTTTGCGATCGTACGCCAGGGCGTCGTTGGGAACGTAGCTGACGCGTACGCCGCCATAATGACGACGCTGCGGCAGTTGATACATCATCATGTAGTCCTCGGAGCTTGACGAACTAGAGGAGCACGTCGAGCATACGCTGGAGGCATCATCCTCCTCTGAGTCGCGAGAGTGTTGCTTTGGCGGCTTATGTGCATCGCCCTCGGCCAGCGCACTATGCAGCAGTGAGGGTGGACCTTGGTAGGAGGAGGAGAGCGGCTGAGCGGGTGCATAGGTGTCGGCACGCGTGGTCGAGTGGGAGCGATGGCCGCTGCCACTGCGGTGGTGGCTGGACGACTTGCGTCGTCTGCGTCGGCGTGAGGAATGTCCATGGCCATCGCGCTCACGTGTCTGCCGACTACTGCCCTCAGCATGGCTGCTACCTCCGCCGCCGGCAGTACCAGCGCCATTACCAGAGTAGCTGCGCGATCTTGGTAAGGTGTCTGGAATGCCCTCAAAGCGCACGCCTTTTTTCTTGCCCTCACCACTATTGGCACCGCTCATTGGCGATGACGAGGAGGCGCCGCTCAGTATAGAGACGGGATGTGTGGTTGGTTGATTGGCCGACTGTGTGGACAGAGGGGTGTTGAGGGAACGGTCTCCTGCCGAATGTGTGGGTGAGCCCATTAGTTCGGGCGGTAGAGCAGTGGAGGCCACGGAAAGATTGGGTGTGGGCAGTTCGGGTATTTCGGAGGGTGGTGGCGGTGGTGGCGCATGCATAATGTCCACATACTCGTGCTGTGGAGCAGAGAACTGCTGCGCAGAGGCATGCAGTGGTACTGTGCTCTGTGCTCCTGAAGATGCAGGTATCTGCGAATAGTGCGGCATTTGTTGACCACCAGCAGCCGTCAGTTCGGGCATGCTCGACGTTATGGAGTTCTCTAATTTGGAGACCTGCTGCAATTGTCTTTGCAACTGATAGCTGTGTGTGGCACCCAACGGGGGCTTTGCCGGCCACGCCGCATCCAAATTAAGCGCCATCTCGTTGAAGTTGTAGATACCGTCGCGTTGCAGTTCCATGGGCTTTGGCATCAAATGCGGTTGAAAATCACCCGGTGAGTTGAGCGGAGACATGTTCTGGGAGGTGCTTGAGGCGCGGCCACCGGAGAAGTCCGTAAAGTCGCCAGCACCGTGCTCCGAATCTTTGACGACACCCGCGTCTGAGTCCGATGTTGGGTAACTTTGCTTGGCGTGCTCGAGCAGCGTAAGTTCCGCGCCCAGACCCACTAGACTGCCACCAGGCATGGTTCCGGCACAGGCCTCTTCCTGGCCACTCACACCCGCCGCCAGCTGCTGGCTCTGCAGATGGTACATGGCCTGATTGAAGCTGGCCTGATGCTGTTGCTGCTGCTGTGGCGACATGGGCGGCGAACTGGAGGCGTGGCTGCTAGGTATGCGAGTCTGTGGGCGGACGCGTTGGGTGGGTGGTGTGGGTGTGGTATACATGCCCGTGCCCGAGCTGTCCGACGGCGTCGGTGGTTCCCCTTTGCTGCAAGCTATGGAGCAGTAGATGGCGCCCCGACGAGGTAAAAAGGCGCGACCCAGCAGCGAGCATCGGCAAGTGTTGCACGAGAAGCACTCGTCTGTGGCATGCCAGTGCTGTCCGTCGTGACTCATTTGGCCCTGATCCACGCCAATGGCCTCGCCGCAGTAATCGCAGTACTCGGCGAACATGGCGTCAAAGCAGAGCAGGCAATAGGGCTTACCCTCTCGCATTATGTAACGTTGGCCGCCTAGTTGTTTGTCGCACTCGTGGCAAGCGAAATGATTCATGTGCCAGGCACGTCCTTCGGCTTCGGTGCACTCGTCGGCAAGGATAATCTGCAAAAGAGTGGATGACAAAGTTCGACAAAGTTTTAGAAAAGTGTCCAAATACTAAGACAAAGAGCCAGAGACACATTGAGGAACGTTGCCTGAAAAGTTATTGGTTTGTGCAGAAAGTCCATTTCATGAATTTCGAAATCGTAAATAATATATAAACGTAATTTAAATAAATGATTTATAAGCAAGAAATACTAAACGGGTACTATCTTGAATCGGTTAATGTTTGCATTTCTGTAAGACTTAATAAGATACTTGAGTTTATTTTGGAAATCATATATAATTTTGGAAATAATATATAAACGTAATTTAAATAAATGATTTATAAGCAAGAAATACTATACGGGTATGCTCTTGAATCGGTTAATGTTTGCATTTCTGTAAGACTTAATAAGATACTTGAGTTTATTTTGGAAATCATATATAATTTTGGAAATAATATATAAACGTAATTTAAATAAATGATTTATAAGCAAGAAATACTAAACGGGTATTATCTTGAATCGGTTAATGTTTGCATTTCTGTAAGACTTAATAAGATACTTGAGTTTATTTTGGAAATCATATATAATTTTGGAAATAATATATAAACGTAATTTAAATAAATGATTTATAAGTAAGAAATACTATACGGGTATGCTCTTGAATCGGTTAATGTTTGCATTTCTGTAAGACTTAATAAGATACTTGAGTTTATTTTGGAAAACCAATTTTTGAGCTCTGCATAAACCAGCAATTTAGTCTTCACTCACCTCATCGCAGGCGGAGCAGCGCGGCTTGAGAGTCTCGGCATGGTGTCGACCACAATACATGCGGCCATCGCGATGAAAATAGATGAGATCCACCAGCAACTCGCGACAAATGCAGCACGTAAAGCACGCCGGGTGCCAGGAGGCATTGGGTCCGAGACGTGTGGCAAACACGGCGATGTCGCCAGTAGAAATTAATTCGTCGCACTGAAAGTTGCAAGTACGAGTAGTAGAAGTACGTGTTAGTCTTATTCGGAGCCAATAGGGTTAAGTTAGGCTGGCAACTACTTACACCATCGCATGGACGTGCGCTCATCAGCTGCCGGACGTTGCCACGACCGAGTGCATCCCGCTTGCGTTGCGTGGAGAAGAGGCGCAGCTCCTTGCGCTCCTCATCCGTCAATGAGTGACAGTAACGAACCTGCAATGACAGAAATAACAGTTTTGAGCACCGGTCCGATCATTGCGACAGCAAAATCATATGTTCTGGGCAGCAACTGGGCAGCAGCCACAGCCACAGCCGCAGCCATAGCCACAGAAAATAAAGGTAACAGCTTTAAGTGATTTTTCCAAGAAGCGTGCGTGTGTTCGTGTGAGTGTGTGTGTGTGTGAGTGTGTGTGTGTGTGAGTGCGTTGGCCTGCTTGTTGTTTGGGGCTCGCCTATCCACATCTGCCTGTCTTCAGCTCAGCTCAGCTCCGCTCAAGTGGGGTTGCTGTCATTCCAGAGAGCCAGACATGCCCATGCCCAGCTCTGGCAGTAAAGCAGAAAAAGGCGTGTGGCTGCTGTGGCTGCTGCTGCTGCTAATGCTGCCGGCGGCGGCGGCGGCGGACAGCACAAACGGTAGCCGGACGCTGCCTATCAACACGGCTGCGGCTACGACTGCGGTCAGTCCGTTGGCCAGTCTCGTTTGTGTTGTATGCAAATTTTCTGGCTCTGTTTTTTTTTTAGTTTTTTCTTTTTAGCATACCCTGCCTGTAGTTTACTTGACTCTGTGGTGTACATTTGAATACCCTCTTCCCAATGTATCAAAGGGTATATGCATTACAATTCTCAATTTGTTGTTTACTTCTATGAGGATCTATAGACCGGACTTTCCTTTCCTTTTTTAGCATAGTTTCATAACTCGTTCTTATTTAAAAAAAGTGTTAACTTTTTGCTAGACATAGTATCAACTGGTTGTTGGTAACAAAAATGCAATTGCATTGACAGGTAATTGCTTGGACTAGTATTCAATCTAGCCCCATTTATTAAATAAATTCTACAACCCATATCTGCATACTAACCCTCTTTGAATTTAGTTTGAGCAACATAGGGGCTTCTAAGGTCAGGCTGGCTGTACGATAGAGTGCGCACATTTGGTTTGATTTGACTTTTGCCAGGCTTGGAATTTCGGCATTTTTACAGCGGTTGGGCCAGCCTTCATTGACTGGATTGGATGTTGGTCAGGCAGTGTCTCCTAGAGCTGCCCGATGTTAACTGTTGGCTGCCGGTTCAGTTATCGCTTCACAGCGTCGTTCTCGTTAACATGGCAGCCCCAGTGTTAAAATGGTAACTGATATGTGTGCCTACTCCATATGTAAGTACGAGTATGTATGTGCGCTTGTGGGAATCCGCTTAGCAGTTTTAGTTGCTTGCGTTCTTGATTTTGTTTTTGATTTTTTCCCCACTTTTTTTTTGTGTGGCACTCGTAGTAGTTTTGTGTTTGTGGTTTTTGTGTGCTCAACCAGTTAGTTGCACTTGTTTCTTTGATTAATTAAAAGCTGGTCATGTGGCCATGGCCGTGGTCATGCATATGTGTGGGAAAATACGGCACTGCCGTAATGCCGCCATTGACTTTGAAATGTCATACCCGGGGACAGAGTAAGAGGCAGAGGCAGCGGCAGTGGCAGTGGCAGCGGGGTGTAATTTAAGCCGTCTTTTTGACATTGCGCCGTTCATTCAATCACGATAAAATCGTACACACACACACAGAGACACACATTTAAATAAATGCCACGAAATTGACGTGCCACAACCCGAACCCGAACAATACCCATACCAAGACGCAGACTTACCTCGTTATCATGCGGCGGAAGTTGATGCAGCAATTGTCGCACACGATACTGCTCGCCGGGACTGTTGACGTATGGCACTTTGTCGTCGGGTATCTGTGAGAAATACAAGCGAACCTGCGGGCGATATGCAAAAAAAAGCAAAACATGAAATAAGGAGAATGACATGTACAGTTAGTTGGTATTTTGACATTGTGGAAGTTGCCAAGTTGCAGAGAGCAAGGGGCAAAGGTGATTGCAAACCCACATATGTAACTAAGAAGGTACTCATAGGGGCAAGATTAAAGTCCTTAGGAACAAAGAACATTGAACTGCACTTGCATTTAATTGTGCATCAATACTATTTAATACGAAACGTGTTTAAAAGTTTAATTTTTAATTGATTGAAAGAACTTGTATTTTTTACTTAAACTCCTTCAAAGCTGATCCAAATAAAGCTCTTCAAATAATTATCTTCTCTCTCTTCTTTGATATAATTTGCAAAAACCTCTGTGCAACTTCGGTCTGTGATGTGCGATTAACATTTCTTCCCTGAACAGGCTCTCCATTGCCATAAAATATGTGCCTATTAAATGACTTCACTAAAAAGGTCTCCTAAAAAATTATTTCTAATTGATTGAGAAGACATTGCATTTTTTTGTTAGTAAAAACCTTTTCAAAACTGATCCAAACAAAGCTCTTCAAATAATTATTTGCAAAAACTCTATGGAAGCGCGCGCGCGGTTTGTGATGTGCGATTAAAATTTGTTCCCTGAAATAAAATATGTGCCTTTTGAATGACTTCGCTAAAGTTGCTGCTCTCTGGCGTCATCATCACGCAGAGATCAACCAAAATAACTCTCCCAGATGCCGTGCCTGTCAAATGCCTCCTGCTGCCCAGCAGGTTGCCAGCTTCGTGCCAGGCTCGAATTGAGAATCGGCTGAGGCTGCCAGGTGAACAATGGCACAAGGCGCTGCCGCCAGCTCAGACATAGCATTACTTAGAGAATTTTGTGATTTTATTGTGTAGATTTTCTCTGGGCCAAGTTGAAAGGTGTACAACGTGCGCCTCCAGCCGAAGACGTTGCTTACGTTCTAAGTAGACTTTATTGGCCACGTTTTTAAGTGGCGGAGTGCCGTGAAATTTAAGCAAATGGTTGCAAAGTCATAGCCTGTCTGTCTGTCCGTCTGGCTGGCTATCTTGCTGTCTGCTGCCTGCTGTCGGCGTCTGCTCAACTGACACATGGCTTATGTTGCATCAACGTAAATTGCTGCCACAGCGACAGATATTCAAGCGGACTGTAAATAAATTTTCAATTCTGTTTGTAACGTTGCCAAAAATACATACTCGTACATATGAAGGAAACATGAAAAAATCACGCTATCTGCAAGACACTTGATGGGCAGTGTCAGTTATCTAGGATTAACGGGGGTCATGAAGCAGGCAGGCAGGCAGGCAGGCAGGCACTCATACTATATAGATTGTGGAATTCGTGGCAGGCTTCACTTATGTGATACCGACCATGGGTTAAAGCCTATTTGCTGGTCTTCTCCAATAGTTTTACTGACGGTTGCTGGGCTAGTCAAATGTTTTATGGCTTCCATTTGACAGTCGTGCATAAAAAATGCCAAAAATGTGTTAGCCTGCTTCTGGGCGCTTGCACTGTGCAATGAAGATTGTGAGAGATTTATTTTGCATTGTCGCATATTTTACGCGAATAATTTATGTGGCGTTTACTCCTCTGGGATGTTGCCAGCAGCCTGTAGCCGAAAAATAAAATCGGCACGAAGTTCCACAAAATAATTGAAAAAATGTTTGGGCGAAACGCGAGTTTTTCTTTTTGCTGCTGCTGCCCAATATACGAACACACTCACAATTGAATTGGCTATAAAAGTCAAATTGAAAAATGGCTAACAAGGCGTGCCCCGCAGTTGGTAAATGAAACGTTTAATGCTGCGCCTGGTTGCAGTTGATGTGTAAACTGAGTCGATCTGCATTGGGTTTCATTAGCGGCGGAGCAATCTAATTCGAAATTTGCCGACAGCTAGGTGACAGAGATACGAGTAGACCCTCACTTAATAGCCCCTACACACAGCGAAAAAGATAGACAGGCAGACAGGCAGATGGACAAACGGACAGTCACAAAAAACAGATAGGCAAACAGGCATAAAAACACATTCGAACATTTAGACAGTGCAGTCTGAAGCTACACTCGAAAAAAAGGTGGTAGTTTCTAAAAGGCTGCTTCATCTCTACGATGAGAAGCGATAATAATAGAATAAAAATAATAGAATAAAATTCAATTTTAAAGTCCTACTCAAAATATGAAATAATTTTTATTATTCATTTTCCAAAAAAAAACCAGAGAGAACGCTACAGTCGAGCAAGCCCGACAGTGTAATACCCTGTACCCAGGTAAACTTCCGTCACTGAGTTATATGCGCCCATAGCAGCAGCAAAAAGAGGAAGAAGAAGAGCGAACTTGTTGCTGCAGTTTGTGGGGGTTGTACTGGCGAGGATTTGTTTTGCTAATAACTTTTCTTAGAATACACCGAATTGAATAAAATTTTGAACAACAGTAGACAATTATATATTAATTATGTGTGCAAAGTTTGGTTTAGGTAGCATTTGAAATGTGGACGCTATTGACGAAATTCTGTAGCGGGGGAAGGGGGGGAAAATTAAAAAAAAAACATAAACTCGTCCTTACTCGGACCTAGTAGAATCTGGATGCCAACTTTGGTTATTCTAGCTTTTATAGTTTCTGAGATCCTCGCGTTCATCCAGACGGACGGACAGACGGACAGACGGACGGACATGTCTAGATCGATTTCTCTCGTCATGCTGATCAAGAATATATATACTTTATGGGGTCGGAGATGCTTCCTTCTGTATGTTACATACTTTGCACAAACCTAATATACCCTTTTTACCCTACGGGTACAGGGTATAAAAATTTTATTTGCTAAAACGGAAGCATGGATTTAATTGAGCTCTATTGATAGGAATTGCAATTGAATTTTTCTTTATTCCACGAATTCATTTAAAAATATAAAAGAACGTATAATGGATGAATGCGCACTCTTGACTACAAGCTACATTTTTTTTTCAATTTTTGTTAAAGGTAAGTGTATTATTAACAGAATTATATGCAATTTTGAAATCTGCCGTAAAATATAAAATTACAAGTATAATAATAATCATTTTTTTTATTCATTTTCCATAATTAACACTTTATTTGCACATAAGGAAGCGTGGATTTAAGCTGGATGAAAGCACACTTGTGACTAAAAGTTCAATTTTCTTACTGTCAATTTTGTCTAAAGGTCAGCCCCGCTTTCGTCAAGTGTATTATCGCCTTGAGCTGTGAGTGCGGCGCTTGCCATTATCTGAAGAGCTCGCGAAGAGCGAAGCGATGCAAAGCAACGCTCGACTGATTTATGGCCTCGCCGCGCATATTTATTTACAACAGTTGCTAAAGCAATAGCATAGCATGACCACAGGCCACAAAATGGCAATACGGGGCAGCGGGCCGAGTGACAAAATAACGCACAATAACTCAAGTATCTGTGGCAGAGTGCAGTGCATCGAGACGCGACGCGAACGCGAACGCGCGACACGTTGGCCGGCAACTTATCAGCGAGCAACAAATCTTCGCGGACAGCCACAGAGGCGGCATGCAAGCTAAAACCCTTGGAGTCATATTGCAAATACTGGTTGCATATTAGCCCAGGAAATGGAGCAATATCGAGTTGCTAGCACCATTGACAGCGACAACACTCACCTGATCGGGTCGCAGTCCGGGCGGCACCCAGGTATATTCCTCCAGAGCGCAGCCGCTGTCATCGTCCGAGTGCGACTGACGCTGCATGTCCATGTGCGGTCCGGCGAGGAAGGGCGCATGCGCCGACGACGGATGATGCAGCAGCGATGGTGGCGACGGCGTCGATAGCGCCGGCGAAAGCTGATGCTGATGTTGGTGCTGATGCTGATGTGGACTCTGATGTGGATGTGCATGCTGATGTTGATGATGAGGCGGCGGCTGCTGCTGCTGTTGATGCTGTTGATGCTGCTGATGCGGTGGCAGCGGCAGTGGTTGCTGTTTCAGCGACGAATTGGAGTACTTGGAGTTGGAGGAGCTGGCTGAGGCAGCGGGCGAGTATTGGGCGGCTGCGGCAGGCGGCAGCTGCTGGTGATGCGGCGGCAAGTATTGCTGATGCCGTTGCAGTGGCAGCGGCGATGTGGGCAACATGCCCGCATTTTGAGACGCGTACAGAGCGCTCGCAGATGTGCTGCTGGGCAGGCCAAGACTGCCGCTGGCCGTTCGCAGACCAGCGCCCAATGGCGGTGGCGGCAGACCGGATCCATGTGCACTCGGCGAGAAGTGGCGCGGTAGAGTCGGGATCTTCTGCAGATAGGAGATCTGCGTCAGCGGCGTGCGGCTGATGGGCCTGCAGGTGAAAAAGAACAAGAACGAAAGGCACTGCGTTAGAATATGTGGCTAAGAGTGGTGCAAGCCGGCGTGGCTAATCGAAAGTTAATTAAAATGAGCCTGGCACTGCGTGGCAGGTTAAAAGGTGTTGAGCATGGGAAACGGCTGGGGCTGTAACTGAAAACCAACAATTTTAATGTAATAAAAACCGCATATAATATTTTTTATCATGCGCTTGTAATTTGTTGGATTTATGCGGTTTTGCACTTCCTATTTTTATTTAATTTCGTTTTCTGGTCGCTTTGTCTGTGTTGTCGGATCTCTTTGGACAAGCTGTCAATTCTAGTTGTTTTTCATTTTCATGCGTTTGTATGCGATTCGAAAACCCACTAAAAAAAAAAAAGTCAACAGGGCTTTGTTACTTTTTTCTGTTGACGTCAAAATGAAAATATGCGCTTCACAGCATTTGCACAAACAAATCGACAGTTCATGTTTATGTTGCTTTTGTTCTTGTTGTAGTTGTTGTTGTTTGCCTGATATATGTTTTTTGTTGGTTGCGTGTATGCCCAGCCCTTGAGCTGTTGTTGTCGCTGTCGCTGTCCCTGTTGTCATTTGCCGCGCTGTTGTTGTAGACTGACATTGTTATCCTTGCTGCTTGCAATGCCCTTCAAAGCTTTCTATACGGCTAGTTAGTTGACATAACGAGTTTGGCATCAGAACATAGCTTAGAGAGACTTAATTAAGCGATTTGGGAGATTAGATGGTATAATAGAGGTACTGTGGCTCTGCGTTTTGAAGGAAACACTTTGAAAAACAGCTCCACGAAAGTTGAGTTCCTCTACGAGTCATTAAATTGCAAAACAAATTATATTTTGAAATGATTTTGGACTGCATAACTAAGAAGCTTGACGAGGCTACTAGAAATGAAGTACAATTACTGATTTGCAATTTTATTTTTTTTGAGATTCCTAGTTTGATGACGACCTTTTATAAGCTCTGCAAAGTATTTAAAAGTATTTATAAGAATTTCCCTTGGGTTTGTTTATAAGCCACAATACTCGTAGGTCGGTTTAGTCTAAAAGAAGCCAGTGTTCCAGCAGCTTGTTTTAAAAGTCAGAGGTGTGTTTAAAAATCCTGCTGAGTTTCAGACCAATTTCAAACAAATCTGTTATCGGTTTATTAGCAACCTTCGAGTTGTGAACGCTTTGGAGAACATTTTATAGGGAACCTCCCTCCCTCGTTGCCTCAACTTGTTCCGCACTATTCCACACAAAAACAGTAGCATTTGCCATTAAGCTTAAAAGCGGCAAATGATTGCCACAATCATTTCATTCTACATACTCGCTTGATTTGTTCAAACAAGTTCTCAATCAAATCCAAATGCAATCATAGATTTCAATTGTAGCGCATTTGAGGCTTGTGGCCCAACAACCACGTAGCCGTGCAGCCCCAGAGCCACAGTGCCACAGAGCCAGCCACCAGCGCCACTTCATGCCAGTTTTTGTTGTTGTCGCTATCAAAGGATAACTGTGCATTGTCTGCGCATATGTAACTGTAACTCCAACCACCGATCTGTCTATAACTCTGTCTTTCAGCGTGAGTGTGAGTCTGAGTCTGAGTCTGTGTGTGTGTGTCTGTGTGTGTGTGTTTGTGGGCGTAACCGGCTGGCTGTGTGAATGCGGATGCGGGCGTTTTATCAAAACAATGTGGCCGCCCTTTTGTTGTTTTTGTAAGCTCGCCGAAACGAACTTTATTTTTTATTTCAATTTTCGTTTTTGTTCTCATCCGCTTTAACGATTGCAATTTCTGTTTCTAGCTCGCTGGCTGCCATCCTGATGTGTCAATATTGTGCGAAGCGGTTTCTGCGGTTTCCCAGCAATTAATTGCGCAGATTTTGGCCTTTCTGGTTGAAGGCAAAAACATTCCCATTGTTTTATGGCAAGTACATAATATTCCTATTTGAATACATGTACTTGTACATACAAGTATGTATGTACTCGTATTGCGGCAAAAGTTAAGTACAAAACGCTGTAGATGACAAAAATGCGTGGCGTGCCGCTACGTGAGTGTGTAAGCGGGGTAAACGGGGTAAAGCGGCTAAATGTGCAGCGTTCGCAGACGCCGATGCACGTGCAACACCGAGAGCGCAGCTGGAGATCCGAGCGAGCGAGTCGGATCGAGACAGAGGCGGTGCAGCCTAAAAGTGTTGGCTGCTGTCAAATCAGTCGCATTGGAACTCAAATTACAAGCCAAACAGAAACGGCAGGCTGGCTGGCAGACCGGCTCCAACTGTTCAATAGTTGATATTACAACAACAGACGGTAAATGAAAAGCAAACCAAATGGTGCTGGGAAAACTGTGCCTAAGCAAAAATTTCATTGCATTTGAGTGCAGCTATGGAAATGAAAATGGAAATGGGAGCATGCCCCGAACGAGGAGGCGAGATCCCATTCCCCGTCACAGTCTCTTGAATTTATTGTGCGGTTGTGTATTGCCGACCAGTTACAACAACAGTAACAACAACAATAACAACAACTGCGACCAGCATGCATTTGCTTTAAATTTGCTCTTTTTGTACTATTTATTGTAGTTTTTTATTCAATTTATATCTATGGCGTTTTTTGTAATTTACAAATTTATTGTTGACTGCAACGAATTGGCGCGACTTTTGTGCGACTCTTGCGTAAAATTGCTGGGCGGTTGGCTGGCTGGTTTGCTGGATGGCTGGTTGGTTGGCTGGTCGGTTGCTTGTACGAGTATAGTATTGTGGCAAGTTTCAATTTGGTTTAGTGCAGATTTGCGTGCCATGTTGCGGCTTTATTAAGCCATTAAAGCGTTGCAAATTGCACTTGGATACGTAGGCTAGAAAGTGAGGCCCATAGGGGTGCCATCTCCCATCTCCCATCTGCCATGCAATTTCAATTTCAACAGTGCTGGTGGCCAGACATGATGTGCATGCTATTCCCTTTTGAGCTTCCTGTCTTGGCAACAATGTTGCACAACTTGTTGCTGGCCTGTGTGTTCTAATTTGTTGCGCCGCGCAACACAATGAATGCAGCAGCAACAAGAAAAATAATAATAATAAACAGCCGCTTTAATGACCACAGAAGGAAACTTGTAATTTCGCTCGCAGCCGTAATCGAAGCACCCTGGGTCATGCCATAAAAACGCGCCATTTCTCCGCTCTGTCTTTGAGCCTGCGGGCAGCTGTTGCCAATATTTGTTTAGTAGCAGATGATGGGGGTCACTCAGCAGCTCATTGAACCTATAGTAAGTCCAAACTGGTTTTGTGAGGCAAACAAATTCGCTTGATTTATCTATGATGCGCTGATACTCGTACTTTGGTCTGGACAGGGGCTGCAGCCCTTTTCCATTTTGTCTCAGCCACATCAAAACTGGTTCAAACAATTTGCTGCAGCTGTCTTGACCCGGGCGGCGAGAAAAAGGCACAAGCAGCGATCCCAAGCTCAGTCAAGTATGTAAAGTAAAGTCAAGTCGCTTCAAGTTCCATCAACCTAAGCAGTTGTCGCTGGGCTACTCTTTACCACCATTATGCTTTCAACCTGACTTCAAGCCGATCGACGCCGCCGACTGCGATACTCGTAAGTGGTGTGGAAGATACTATATTTAGCATGGCTTATCTGCCGGCTGACATCTAAATGAATGATCATTATGTAGCAGCGCGTTGACAAATTGCAAACCATTTTAAGCCAGCAAGAATTACCGAACTACTGGCCAGTTCCCTCTGAGAGCTGAGATTCATTTACAATGGTCTTAACACTTGGCGCATTGTGTGGTTTTCTAAGCAATTTTTGCTGCGCACTTGAGGTCGCTAGAAATTTAGGTTAATGCGAGGCAGCGCCATGCTTGTAGAAAGTACGAGTATGGCCAACAGCAATTCATTAGTCTGACAATTGCTAACAATTCATCTACCTCGCCCTACAATTGCGGCAGGTGGCCCGTAAACTGTCTTGGAATTCTACCAACGAGACTAGTTGTGAAAGTTTTATGAAGTCTCATTGCGGCGTAGCAACAATTATTGCTTCAGTTCCTGCATCCCTGCTCCTCTCAATTCTTGTTTGCACCTTAGTTGCTGCTCCTGCTCCATCTCCACCCGCTTTTATTGTTTTACAGCTGCAGTAAGAAAAACTTTAACGTCCTTTTGTCAAAGACTAGAAAATACAGTTACTTTTCTTACTCAAACGAGAGGTTTTCAATTCTTGTTTTATACTATTTTATGTTACTTAGCGGGTGGTCTTCGTTTTCATTTCATGCTTTCATGCCTTTCAATTCAATTGCTAAGTTTATGTGACTACGCATAATTGTACCCTACACCAAACATTTAAGAGGTATGCTGTTTCATGAGCTACTGCAAGCACGGTTTGGAATTGTACATAGAGATTAGTTTTGAACAGGCAGTGATATTGCTTCGAGATGTCCGTCATCAAGCTTTTATAGAAAAAGAAGGTTTAGAAAAGTTGTTGTAATAAGGTTGTCTTTGATCTTTCCTCAACATCTCCTATCTCTTGCAGTAAACGTGTTCAGAAGTTCAAAACTATGAGATTTGTTATGACATATTTTGTCTGAGTGTACCTGGGGATGCAACAAGAGGAATATACACACATACGAGTACATATACAGGCATCTCCTACGTGGCGTTGCCCGAGGGTCAAAACTTTATTAAAACCCGCAAAGCTCACTAGTACGATTGTCATAAACGATTTTTGAATTGTCAATAAAAATTGTACAGCAAGCTGTAAACTTTATGGCAACAACACACACGTGCAGCACAAAGCTGGTGGCCGACCAGTGGACTGGTCCGTTTGGGTGGCAGCTCCAGACCTCTAGCTGCTACTCGCCCACTCCCACTTCCACTCCCAGTTGTCGTATTTGTTTGCCAGCTCGTGCTGCATTGTTGTTGTTGCTGCTGTTGCTGGGGCCCTAACTGCGCTGTCTGCCTTGTCAACATGACATTTTGCGTGTTGACATTTTTATTGACTTTGGCATGTATGGCAGGGA